TTTTTATATAATTATTGTCATTAATCTGTTATTTCTGCAAATGTTAAGACCTAGACTATTATCAGTTTATGACATCAAACTAAGATTTCTTTATTCATTTTCACATTGAAATGTGAGACAAAAGCAATTATGAATGCAAAACCATCAATAGATTATTAAAAACTTTGAATACTAAATATTAGTATGATTACAAATAATGAAAAATTTTTTTATCTCGCGAAAATCACAAATTATTTTATAGTCTATCTTCATGTATGTGGCATTACCAAAGTTAAGTCTCAATAAAGATAACTTATCTAATGGAAGGTGAATAGTATAAAAACTCACCGCTCCTGTAGTACTGTTAATGCAATTCATGTTAATTCTGCTTAAGAATCTGACACAAGGAGCATCATCTGGATATCTTGCCCCGCAATCAATTTTAAGACTGTACATTCTATTTTCATAAGGAGTCTAAAAAAAAAAAAAAAAAAAATTGATTAATACAGTATTATACATGTAAAGAAATTGTTTAATGAATATTTCAATTTTATTATACATACCCTAGGTGGCCCAATGATCATCCCAGTCCAATGAGTTAACGTCATGTCATCATCGCTTTCTAATCCCCAACTGATTGTGCCATCGCCGACACCTTTCTGTCCTTGTTCAAGTTCTTCTAATAACCGAAAATTCCTAGGTACAACTGTAAATAATTCATACAAGCTTCATTTGACTGTTCAAGTTTAACTATTAAAATTTGTCAAAGGAACCCTTAAGTATGTGCGCCCGCAATTTAAAGCAGTAAGTAAAAAGTAAAAATTAATGCAGTTAGACATACAAAATAAGTCAAACAACTTCTCAAGTACAGTCCACTAAGAGCTAAGAATACGATTGTGTGAAAAGTTAAACTAAACAACCAGTACTTATTGAGTTTAAGTTGTGCATGTTCTATAATTTCATCCCACAAACTCGGAAACTTTTAGCTTTCAGAGAAATAAAGAAGCAACGAGGAAAAGGTAGAAAAGAACTATGTCACTGCCTGGGACTTTTAAAAGCCACCCCACAGAGGACCTGCTCCAAAACAGTCCAGCAGAGCACAGGTTAGCTCTGATCCCGGGTACCCACCGACTTTACACCCAATCTGAATACCTTTTCCAAACTTTTATCTCGAGAGACCCAAATCTGTTTCAAAATCCGAAAACGAGTATTTCTTCGTTCCCAGCGTTCAAAAGCTCAAGACGGTGTGTCAAGGTTAAGACGTCCTGCGGCATCGGCCGTGAGAGATAGAGGGAGAGAAAGAGGCACGTTATTGCACCCACGTTACAAGTTGCGGGGGTCAAAAGTAAGCGAGTAAACAAAAGCACACCAAAGACGGCATTGAAATTAGTCATTCACCTTCATAAAAATCATCACCAGGACATTATGATCATAATAATTATGGTATATACGCACCTACACCGGTGGTCTGCATCGCCTGCTGCATGATCACTCTCTCTCTCTCGGTACGCACTCTCACACACCGTCCACAAGACCTCGCCTCTCTTTTCTGGCAAACAACAATATGTGTTAGGTATCACCACTTCAGTCCGCGGATGTAATAACAACAACAACGATAATTACACTATTAACAACAATTATGATTAATGGTATATGGGGGGGGGGAGAAATGTTCCTCAGAGGTACTCTCTCTCGGGGGAGCCTCTTAGCGCGGTACAGTGGGGGCACATCGGCACATTCGGCATTTCGGCAGTATAGTTCGGCACATACCTACAATAAAAGGAACACTTTGTGTGAGTATGTTGGAACACAACGAGAAGTCGGCGGCAAGTGCTCGGCAGTCTATCGGTCTTGGGTCTTGCCGTCTTGGCACCTTGCACCAGTCAATTTCGTAAAAGAGAATAATCTCTCTCTTACACACTCTTTTTTTTTTTGTTTTAGGAGAAAATAATACCAATAACCTGGTCACTGTGACGTACGTTTTTGCTGGACGACTTTATAGGCTCTTTCTCAGTTTGTTTATTTATTTATTTTTTTAAGCGATTAATTGATTCTGAGAACAGGAGAGAAGAAAAACAAAAATTTTACAGTCTTTCACTCCCTGCACATTCACTAGTAAATAAAAACTTGTTAAATATTAAATAAAACTTTTTCAATCGTTAAGTATTATTACTTGTGAATTGTGAAACTAAGTAGGCATTATACCTAAAAAACGTTTTTTTTTTTTGTTTTTTTTTGTTCACAGAACACATACGACGATTATATTATTCATAGGTAAATAATTAGTTTAAAAATTATATTTTTAACATACTTGAGTTCTCGTGCAAAAAATGTTTTCAGATTGAGAATAACTTAAGTATGTATATTGTATGTTTTAAATTTTGGACGAGAAAAACATATTGTACACATATTTACGTGGTTTTTGATACTTTTACGACGAGCGTTATAAAAAATTTATGAACCAAAACTTATGAAATGTCAGAAAATTGTTATGAAGTACTATTATATCCTTATTAAATTTTTCGACCGATAATATAGTGCTTCAGATCATTGCGTCAAAAATCAACTCGATGCATAGCTCAACAAAAATTGTCTTTAAATTTACATCAATAAATAATGAAAAAGCACGACCTGAATTACACACATTAATACAATGATATACACACAACATTTTTTTTTTTTTTTTACAAAGACACATAATAAAAACCTTTAAAATCGATGGTATTAATTGATAGTTAGGTACGTATTTCATATAGTGCTTTTATTTCTTTTTTTTTTTACTAAATTTACACGATATACATATTTCTTCTTTTAATTTTTTGACTGATACATTTCAAATAATAAATTTCAATAGAACTTTTTGTTTCAAATGATTTTCATTATTTTCTGTAAATGTTTATATTGTACGATTGCAGTTAAAATTATGATTTTAGAAACGATAAATTTCAATAAAAAAAAGCGAGAGGAGATAGGATACAGGATATATATTAATGAAAAATTCCAAGAAAAATAGTCTATTACATATATATATTTTTGAAATATATACGTACATACACAGTAATATTTGTAGAGCTCTGCAAATAAGTAATGAGATCAAAATCGATTAATCATAGGAGTAACGAATGTAATTAAATTCGAATAGATTAATTATATATACAATAAGATATCCTCTTATCTCATAAAAAATAATCGCGTATCTTTGTTACGTAATAAAATTACGTCATATAATATTACGTGAATCGTGTAACAAATTGAATTAACAAATTAATCGACATAACTTTTTTTTCTCACTCATCTCAACAACATTTGCTACAAAAAAATCAATTTCAGTTTTAGTGATTCGATTGTTGTAGAATTATTCATATATAACTATAGCTCTTACGTAATCTCTTTTTCATTTCATGTGCAACTGTGCAAGTGCAACTAACACTGCGACGACTCGCTGCAGTACAAGTTCAAAGTTGAAAGGAGAATCACGTGTGCGCGTTTGTCGAGAGACAGTCTGTCTGCTTCTCTCCCTGTTGTTGATATATATGTACACTTAAATACCTACTTATTTACGTTTTTCGTATGTATTTTGGATCTTCCTCTCGAGAAAGTACCTATATTAATAATTTTGGCACAGTCCACGGCTGTTGTTGTTTCATGTCGTTTGACAGTCTTCATTGCAAGATCAAGGTAACTTGTGCAATTATTCTTAACTCTTTCGGTGCGATAATCAGTTGTTGTCTCAATTGTTGCAACCTCCGTTTTTTCAGCGAATCTCAAACAAGTATATTTACTAGCTGGTCCTTTTGAATTTTTTATTAAAAGACGAGACTGTTGTTGATGTCAATAATGTATTCCAGGGAAAATGTCAGGACGCAAGGTATCGGACGCCGTGGCAGTAGTGCGTGGAATGAAGATCGTGGTGGACGCGTTGTTGCGCGAACAGGAGAGACGTTTTCCTCAAGTTACCAAGTCAGCATCTGTTAACATTCAGAACCTCGCTGACGAGGGTTTCCAAGGTTTGGAGAAATTAGTGGGCAATTTAGATGCAAGTAAGGTTCCTGTAAGTTTCGTATAGACTAAGGAAATTTTAACTAATGGCCGAATATTTTGTGTATACGTATCTACCGTGAGGTTTCTTTGTTTATGTCTTGTAATCATATTCAGGGTTTATTACTATTATTTTTGTTATTAGAGATCCGTTTTATTTTTTTCTACAGGAGAACTTGACGAAAGATTTGAAGGAATTCGCAGAACGATTATACGTTATTGAGAAAGGATTATCCGAATACTCAAAAGTCAGGCTTGAGGAGATTCTTAAAGTTAATAACATTTCGGACATATTGACTAAAGATTTGAGTGATTTTAGTAAGAGGTTGCACGTTTACAATCCAGCCAAGGATCCAAAAGAAGTGCCTCGAGAAACAGAGCCAAGTACAAAAAATACAGAAACTGTGACATCGGAAACCATTCAGAGCGCAAAAACCTCAGCTCAAAACGAAACTACCACAAAGGGATCACCATTGAAGTATTCGAGCATCAAGGAAAAAATCCATGTCATTTCTCAAGCACCAAAAATCGAGTTGTCTGAAAAAGATAAGGCGGTCCTAAGAAAACTTGAACGAGAGCACGAAGAAAAAATCAAGAAACAACAAGTTACAGAGTCTCAAAATTCAGACAAGCCATCAACTAATGAACGTGAGAAAAAGCACAAAGACTTGGCTGAAAAGAGCTCGAATGAACGTTATTCTACGCAATCTGTAAATATTGAAAATAAAGAAAATGTAAAAAAACTAACTCCTAGTCCGAATCCAAACATTAAACCAAAAGGCACGGTTAGTATCTAGTTGCAATGATACGTTTTGAGTGATGTTAAAGTTTTCATACAATCGTGAAATAGTGTTAACATCACCAAGAACATTATAACTAGCCGAATATTGGCAATACATTTGATATTTTTTTAGTTATCAGAAACAGCGAAGGCTAGAAAAGTTCCGTCATCCAGGATCGGCAGAATGGTCAGTTTTGGCACTCTCGGAGTCGGTCTGGGTGTCGGCACGCTAGCCGAGTACACTAGACGAACCTTAGGATTTAAAGAACAGAGCATCAGCCAGACACTTGATAGTATGTTTCTTACAAAAGCGAACGCCGAACGAATCGTATCAACACTGTGCAAAGTACGTGGTGCAGCATTAAAAATCGGACAAATTCTCAGTATACAAGATAACAATGTTATCAGTCCAGAACTACAAAAAGCTTTTGAAAGAGTCAGACAGAGCGCAGATTTCATGCCGGCTTGGCAAGTTGAAGTAAGCATCTTTTTTTTTTGATTTATTAATTTATAGGTCAAGTTCATCATGCAACACTGCCTGGTGGTAGAGCTGTTGCAATTAAAATTCAGTATCCAGGAGTGGCTGCTAGTATTCAAAGTGACATAGAAAATTTAGTTGGGGTATTGAAGGTATGTACAGTTCAAATAAATTTTTTGATCATCGTGTATATATTATCTAGCGTTTTTATTGTGTACGTGTAGGTATGGAATGTCTTTCCAGAAGGTATGTTTATCGATAATCTTGTTGAAGTTGCTAAACGTGAATTAGCATGGGAAGTAGATTATGTAAGAGAAGCCGAATGCACTAGATTATACAGAAAATTTGTGGAACCTTATCCAGAGTATTATGTGCCTGAAGTTATTGGTAGGTGGGGGTTGCAATAATTTACTTTTCATTAACACAATATTATCAACAAGTTTCACTGCTTTACAGATGAATTGTGTACTTCGGAAGTATTTACTTCAGAACTAATTGAGGGTGTACCGGTAGATAAGTGTGCTGAAATGAGTATGGAAACTAGAGAACATATTTGCAAGCTTGTAATGAAATTGTGCTTAAAAGAATTGTTTGTATTTCGTTACATGCAAACTGATCCTAACTGGTCAAACTTTTTTTACAATGAAAAAACAAAACAGGTATTTACGATTTTAATTGAATACAATCGATATTCATTAACTCATAAATTAAAATTTTACGATTTACTTCAGCTAATACTATTAGATTTTGGAGCATGTAGAGATTACAGTAAGGAATTTATGGATAAATATATTGAAGTAATAAATGGTGCTAGTGAAGGAGATAGAAACAAAGTATTAACATTGTCCAGAGAAATGGGATTCTTAACTGGATATGAATCGAAGGTAAATTAATTTTGCTCTTGACGCACGTAAAACAAATTTTATAATGTCGTATTTAACTAAAATAGATAATGGAAGAGTCGCACGTTGACGCGGTGATGATTTTGGGTCAAGTATTTGACAGAGATCATGAATATTTTGATTTCGGAGGTCAAAATGTAACCAAAAGGTGAGTAGTTCATTGAAAACAATTTTTTTCAATCACGGAAAAAAGATTACGAAATACTAGTTTTATTTTTCAATACAGGATACAAGCCTTAGTACCGACTATCATACACCATCGTTTGTGCCCGCCTCCAGAAGAAATATATAGTTTACACAGAAAGTTGTCCGGCGTATTTTTATTGTGTGCAAAAATGAACGTCAAAATCAACTGCCGGGACATGTTCCGCGAAGTATATAGAAATTACAAATTTAAATGATTTGTAACTTTTGATAATTGTATTGTTAGTGTATGATAATATTGATAAGTACCTTAAATAAATTACTTTTTATGGTATCGACTTTGTCTCGTTATATATTAATTTTTCTTCTTGCACAAATAATTCTTGACTGTCGTACTAGGTTGTCTGTAAATACGTGTATCTTCAAAAGACATGGGCACTATGCCATAATTATCGGAACCAGGGCCATTTTTCATCGATTTTCGAAAGTTTGTTCTTTCTTCGGGTATATACTTTTTGTACATCTTCCAACGCCAATATCTGTTGGGTCGAAATTGAATAATATAATGCAAATTCACTTTTCGTCCCTGACAAATTAAAGCTCACTTTTCCAATGGACGAGGAACAATTTCATCTTTAGATTCGGGTAGATTGTTTAGAAAATTATTCCAGTCGTCGTATACTTTTTTATTTTTTAATGAATAACAGTTCACTTCTTCTTGATGTAACTCTTTCAAAGATTGCAACGTAAAGAAGTCACCTGTTTCGTTTTCTTTATCATTTGGAAGATACAGATCCAATATTCGTTTTAAAAATTCGTCCTCTTCTAAAAAACCAATTTAATAATTTCTAACATTTAACTTTAATTATTAATTCCGTAATCAAACCTTTTTCCATGCTTTTAGTGAATGTATTAATTTTATTATCCAAACGCTTCCAATTTTCCAATTTTTGGTTATGAGTTGAGTTGTCAAATTTAAATAATTATTATTTTCTTGTGACGTTGTGACGTATATGTCTCTGTAACAGTGTAACGTGTACTACAACTCAGTCACGAAACAATACGTATACGTTTTCGAAGAGTGTGATGGGAAAAAAATATGCTCATTTGTTATTTTAAAAAATTTGTATATTAAAAGTAAAAAAATACATTTACGTAATTATATACATTTCACTTGAATGTAATAAATTAACATTGAGTTCTTTAAAACAACGGCTTATAAACGTTTTGCTTATTAATTATGAAAGAGGATTTTTAATCAAGCATGATCAAACAGAAATAAGATGCTTTTGTGAACTGTAGTGTTAACATTTAAATACTTTCTATTTTAAATTTTTTTTTAACATAACATTTCAAAGAAAAAGTTAAGATTTTGTTTTACAATACTTAAATGTGCTCGGAAATACTATTTTCAATTATCTTCTGTAACGAGCAAGAAATCTGCAACACTTATTATCTTTATATCAAAAAGTTATGACTAAAAAAAGTATATCACGTAAAAATTTCTTTAGGTTAACTAAATATTATACTTTTTACATTTGTACAATGTACAACCGTGAAACGCTACCATAGTAAGTTTCGCGTTTTTAAAGTCTTTTAGGAACACAGCTAGTGCAGCACTTTAGCAATGAAAAATATTACTGTACAGAATTAACGATAACTTTGACTAGTATGAATTTTATGAGAAAATATATCTGTCAGACATCCATCAATCTCTTAGTTCTTCAATTCAGTACACAAATTCACATTTTTGCTGTTTCGACTTGGTGGCACGGGTGGGGCGTTGAAGCGTTTCCTTTTTAGGCTTAACGGCTACAAGAAAAAATAATGTTAACCGTCGGCACGACTACCGTCAAAAAGCCCCGCTTCTAAGTTAAACAAAATTTACCTGGCTTCGTCCCCTTTTTCAACGCCGGACAGTTCCCGCCTTCGTCATCGTCAGCCAGTACCACCGGCGCTTTTCTCTTTTTGCTCTTCTTCTTTTGGTCATCAGAGATCTCCTCATAGATTATCTCTAGCTTTGTACACGTCCATTTAGCCACTTCAAACTCTCCATCTCTAAATCGCATTGTCAGATCATCTTCGCGGTAGTTTTTTCTGCGCCTTCTTCTAGCCGTCGATTCATCGAATTTCATGTATATTTCCTTTTTGGCGTTATTAGAATCACCCAGCACACCACTACCGAAACTTTTAACCGAATCTTCGTCATCTGACTTCTCGCAGCTCTTGGGCTCAGGGTTGAGCGGGTTCTCGACACTGCTACCCACGGTTTTGTGATTGGCTTCTTGATAATCGTTATAGTTGTCGTCGACGACGAGCATGAGATCGTTGTCACTGCTACTGCTGCTGATGTCGTTATTAGCGAGTGCTTCGATACTGTCGTTGCCGCTAACCTTGGTGATACTTTCGATGGCCTGAACGAGCTCCTGTTTCGCGCCGGATGAATCCAAAAGATCAGCTGAGCTACCTGTAGAAGTTTTAATAGGCGTCTCTGGGGTAATCTCGTTCAGCTCTTCTGTCTGTACACCTATTATGCTATCGACCGCTTGTTTAATCTCCTGCTCGTTTTTCTCGATCTTTATCCTCAATTTCTGTCTGTAGGGCTTTGGCTCTTTCGTGTTTTGTTGGTGTGTCGAGGGTAACGCTGTATTCTGCATGGACAAAGATGGTACAGTGACAACTTTGGTCATTATATGCTCGATTTTTATTATTTTCGGCTTTGCTTTATCCTTCGAGAGTGTCACCGTTTCGTTGCACTCCTTTTGAACCATCATCTGCGAGAACTTGGCGCTTAAATTTGTTGGATTGTCCATTGGTTTAGCTACATTTGGCGTTTCATGTATCTCAATTTCGGCGTTTTCGTCCCTTGCTGGGGTCTCTTTCATCGAGTCTGCTAGTTCCAGATCGGTTTTGTGAATCGGCATCACCTTCGCCGGCGAGGTTTCGCTTTTTGATCCAGCAGCGACTGCTTTCATTTCATCTTCTTCGTGGACTTTTGTTTCTTCTGTCCTCTTTTCTATTTTGTTCTCGCTGCGACGTGATTCATCATCTGAATCTGAAATTAAAATAATTAAATTGTTTCATGAAATTTACTGAAATTTACTTAATTACTCCTCTGATCTACGAATCGTTTCTCTTTTACTATACCTGATTCTTCTTCCGAGGAAGAGGAAGATGATGATGATCTACAAGTAGAACAATTAGACGACGACGAGCTCGACGAAAGCGTAGTGTGATTCGTCAAGTCATGCTCCACCTCAACTTTTTCTTTTGTTTTTAAATTCAAAGTATCCGTTTTTTCAACTCCTTCCGACTGAGATTTTGAAGTCAAATTCTTGAGTAGATTCTCCTTAACGACCTCGAATTGCGTGACGTCAGATTTCTCAATTGTAACCGTCTGTTCATACAATCATAATGTAATTAGTACAGGTACTTATAATAATTATATTTTGTTATTTTACAAATATACCTGTGGTGATACCGCTGGTGGTGGTGGTGATGGTGGTGGTGGTGGTGTCAGTGGCGGTGATGATGGTAGCGGTGGTGCCGATGATGGATGATTAGCTTTATCTTTGGAATTCTCAGGAGTGAGAAGGATTTTCGGAGTTGGCGGGCAGACGTTTGGCACAGGCGCGGATATCGTGTGGGAGTCTTCACTGTTGACCTTTAAAATGGCAGTATTTAAGCTGATGTTACTACCTGGGCTAAGTACACACGGAGTTCTTGGTTTCTGTGTCATGGTCATGCTGCTCGAATCCTCTATACACGGCGATACGGGTTTTGAATGAGTGGCAACCAATTTTTTGGGCTCTTGGGGGTTTTCCTTCTGAATTGCCTCTTCCAGAGAAACACTCTTCTTTTCTACGCCATTCTGAGTCTTGGATATTTTTAACTCTCTAGGAGTCAACGATTTGTCAATCACAGCCGTGTCCTGAGCTCGTAACTTTTCCGACTTTCTGTACGCGCTGTTCATCGTTGATTCATCCACGGACAAAGGTGGCTCGTCGAAGTCCTTGGTGATACTACTGGACTGAAAGTGACGACTCTCATCAGACAGATCGCTCGTATCGAGAGTCTTGATCCGCGCGTACTTCTTCTGAACGATCCTGCCACATTCTATTTTGCTCACCTCGTCGTAGATGACTTCAGCTTTAGGGGTCGTGGCTTTTGGTGTGTTTAGGCCTAACTGTCTTTCTATTGTGTGGCAGTCTACCGAGGTGTTGGGGGATTTGTTCACCTGTTATGAATAATATCAAGTATGAGTTTTTTTGAAAATTTAATTTTATGACATACACGTATGCTTACCTTGCTGGTGTTCTCATTACTTTGCAATTGGCTTACCGAGAAATTTTTTAGATTTGCATTTTTTGCACTGTCCGAGAACATAGCCGTCATGTTTGCCTCGTCGACTTGCATTTTTTGAATGATGCTTTTGTTTTTTGAGACTTCATCGTACAGTTTTACAAGCTCTTGGTTGTTTTCTAAAGTGTTATACATTTTCATTTCTTCCGAGGCGAGTCTTATCACGTCACTTTCATTGTGGACTTCAATCTTATCAGATAGTAAAACTTCCAGTGGATCCTCTGGATCTTCTAAATCGCCGGCTTGTAAATTTTCAGGTATCGAAGTTACCTTTTCCGCATTTTCGTTTTGTGAGATTTCGGGTAGGGAAATCCCTAGTACCTTTTCCGCGTTTTCGTTGTGTGAGATTTCAGGTAGGGAAATCCCTAGTGTATCTTTGCTTTTTGACATTTTCGATTCGACGTTAATTTTTGTAATTTCTTCATTGTTCAAAGTTTTAACCTTAGAATCAGCCGTTTTAGAACTACCGTTTTCCAGAACGTCATCTTCAGCATGGTTATCTGACGTCGCTGATTTTTCTACGCTATTTGATATTTTTTTATCTATTTTCGGTTTTGATTTGTCTCTAATCTTCGGCTTTGGCGGGCCTTTTTTCACGGAAGAAGGGTTATCCATGTCTGTTGAATTTATGGACGAAGAAGCATTATGGTTTTTCGAGTTTGCACATAAAACACTATCACTTTCGGTTTCTTTCGATTTTTCAGGCAAAGTCTCATTATTTTCCTTTATTGTTTTAGACGTGGATGCTTTGCACTTGGTCTTCTTATATCTCATGCTTGGATCCTCTACTTTTCGATGTTTTCGTCTCGGCGGCCCTTCAATTTTTTTTTCGACACTCAAGCTCGCGTATTTTCTCAATTCTTCGTCCCAATTTGTTTTTGACGTAACTTTAGTTTTCTTCAAATCCGTCTCACCTTTCTCATCCCTTTTTTTCGATGGAAACTGTTCTGTTGATTTCTCATCGTTGCTTTTATTTTCCTTTTTTTCCTTATTTTCTTGACTTTTTCCTGTAGGTATAAATGTCAAGTTAAACTATTGCTTTTTTTTCTCAATAAATTAAACTAAAAAAAAATGTGTTTCCAGCAATTTCATTTTACCACTTTCCAGCGCTTTTGTTTCAGCAGTTTTTTTATTATCATCCTTGGATTCAGGTGGTGATTTGAACAAGAAAGATTTGCACGACGAACTCTTGAGCGGACGTAGGAGTGTTTCCAACGATACTTGGCGATTGTTGCATTTGCTATCCGATCGCGAACGCCCGTACGGGTCGTCAAAGTCCAGGGCACGTATGTGATTATTTGGTTTTTTAGGAGTAGATGAACTACAGCGTCTATCTCTAGTTTGATTTTGAGCGAAGGCTTTCGGTGTATTTTTTGTGAATGCTTCAAGTTGTCTGAAAATGAAATTTTTTATTAAAAAAAAATGATGGTTACACGTGATATATTTATATATGTACCTAGCAAAAGTTGAATTGTTTTCTGATCCTCCCTCGATGCTTTCTTCAGGTATCGCAGGCAGCCTGACAGTCTTTTTGCTACTCATTACAATCTTGTTGTTTTCAACGACTGCAGTATCCTTCTCTTCGGTCTTCTTTTGTGTCTTTAAAAAAGAATGTAGACCAGAGTCGTCCAACGATTGCTGATTATTCGTCTCTGTTTCTGGGGCGATAACCGGATCTTCCACTGCAGCCTGATGGCCATACAAAGCCGTTGGTTCCAAGTCGTTGTAGTTGAACCCGTTGATGTCTTTAAGTAGCGGTGATATGCTTTCAACAGTGCCACCGGGTTTGAGCAGCTCGTCGAGCATTAGCGAGCTTTTTTCGGATATTACTGGTGTCTTAGGCTGCGGAGAGCTTGCTTTGGTGGCAACAGAGGTGACTGCGTTGTTTGGAACTTTACTGATTTGTTGGATAACCAAGTCTGGCGTATGGAGAGTTTTATCTAGAAGAAAATTTTTAACGTGAGATCGTAACATACTGGTTGTGTATAATAATACACTGTTGTAGGTATGTGCAAAATTACCTTTTACTGTGTTGGTATAGGAACAGCTCACAGTGACTTTTTCTGCAATGATACATATGTGGTGTATGAAAAAAAAACGAGTAGAAAGAAATCATTGCAATATTATTCAATATCGACTACCTTTCATGACGACAGAAGACGCTAAATTCTTTGAGGCAGTGGCTACTGTTTCGATGGCTGTGAACGTTTCTGGACAAATAATAAGCAAAAATACAACCAAAGGTTGTTAATGAAAAAATACATAATAATCTATGAATGTTCGTACGAATTACCCATTTTTGAAGGACGACTGTTTTTTACAATATCCAAGTTTGGTGAAAAACTTTCAAGCGAGAACCAGTCGTCAATAGAATAATTACTGGTAGCTGTCATCGTTTTAATTGGTGTCGAAGTTAGGGTATTACTGTGATGAAACAACGCGTTTGACTTGGATGCTGATTTTACGTGAACATTAGGTGACTGTAGAAGACTTATTGTATCATTAGTTTTGTTTTCCAAGTTACAAGTTGGAGTTTTCGCAATTTTTTCCTTGAAATATGTATCCACTTGTTTAGGCACAATGGCACTTTGCTCTTTTAACAAGCCATCATGTTCCATAGGTGCTTCTGTAAAATTGTTAGGCTTTTCCAAAATATCTGGTTGATTGCTACTTTTTCCATCCAACGTACTACTTGGAGTACTAGGCAAGTTTGTTTGAATAGATTCTGCAATAATATTTTCCTGATCTACTTGTGCTTTTTCAACTCTCACATTCCTTTCAATTCCCACATGATTTTGAGTTGAATCTCTTGCTTCCTCTGTTTTTTCAAGCGAAGTACTTCCGTTGCCAGCTATTTTTTTTCCAAGCTCTAATGCAGCGTTCTGTAATTAAAGCAAAATCATTTAAATAATGTTTATTTTGTAGAGTCAAGCAGTACAAAAATATCTTTACCTTATTTGATAAATTAAAACCGTGCTGAGGTTCTTTTGGATTAGGTAATTCTTCATCAAACGTTTTTGCTTCAGTATTTTCACAATGTTGATCAGTCTCCTTATTCTGGATTATCTTACTACGTGTCTCAGTTTCAGGAACTTGAACTAATGAATTTTTTACTACCCTTGAACTTTCGTCATTACTTTCGAGAGCATTATTTGTCATTGGAACTGTGCATCTGTCATTTGGTACATTTTTATTTTGACGTTCTGTAGTCTTATCAATAATACTGTTTTTAGGAATTTTTGGTGGCAAGCTATAGTTAGCATTTAAATTGGTTATTTCCCACAAAGACTTGGATTTACCAATACTGCGCTTTTGGGTATTAGAATTTTCGGTACGATTATGCAAATTCCTTAAAAAAGATTCTATGGTGCTACTGTTTTGTACTGTAATTAAAATAAATCAAATTAATGAAATATAATATAATACAGCTTACTGCATCAAACTAGTATGATTACAAAATCCATTACTTTGACTGAGCTCCCCATCAGTTTGTGATTCTGCATCGGACATCCTTTTTTGAGTAGTTGCTTTTTCATTTTCACCAGAATCACTTGGCTTGTTGAAAAAATCAAAAGGGCCATTGCTGCTGTTATGCAATTGTTGAATTTTAGATTCTTCAAACAGCAATTTAATGAGTACCACAATATCATTATACTTTTTAACCCCATTCAATTTGTTTGATTTTTCAACTTGTTTTTGGACTATAATAATAACGTTATTTTAAAAACTTGATTTTTAATCTGTCATAAAAAAAATCCGGCGTATCATAAAATACTGCGTCAATTACTTACCAATTTCGTTGATCTGACAAAACTTTTCTAAAATTTCAGTCAAAGCCAAAGTATGATGCGTACTGACAAAGTGTTTTCCTTGAGACACGACATAACGACATTCTTCTAAATTTGGACATTCGCTTAAATAAATTGCAGCTGTTTTCTTGCAATTCTCTTCAAGTAGAAATCCTAAATAATAGTTAAGTAATTAATTAGAGGTTATCAGATGTCCTGCTATGCAACCTACGTTCTATGAGAACTATACGCGACCTCGTGTCAATTAAATTTAACTTTAAACTGTTCAGCAAATATTTACAGTCCTGGTTTGATCTGGTACATCTACATTAATATTGATATCATTCCACTTATAAAAACAAATAAATGCTGATGAATTGATTATAGTGTTTCATTGTTTAGTACACCTGAAGTCTATTCAACTAAAATAAAATGCTAAACTAATAGCTTTGAATGCATGTGTTCAAGGACATTCCAAAATTACAGGTAAGCATACAATGTTTATCTGCTTAAAAAATGTATTAAAAAGTGAAAACAAGACACAATACATCATAACCACCAGATACTTAAGAACGTACATCTTTCAAAGAAGCTTTAATAAAATACGAAAAGAGAAAAACATTCCAAAAATGATCCTAACTGACGGATAGTCTCAACTAAAAAAAAAAAAAAGTACTCAACAAAGTAGATACAATAAAAATAATCGTACCGTAAACAAGACGCGATATTTCGGAGGGTAAAAGTGCCCACTCCACTGCCATGTCCCTCTCGAGTCCCTGTCACCTCCTGGGCAGCTTCGGACGAAACTGACTTTTTTCACACCTAGCACTTAATTTTTTGTTAAAAAAAAAATATCAAAGAGCCTTACATCGTAAGAAATCTCTTTGCTACACATAACACGTTTGCAGTAGCCATGTTCTTGCAACTGTCTCTGAGCTTGGAGATAAACAAATACTTTTTTTTCGCGGGTATTTCTTTTACGGAAATCAAACGCGATTTCCATTGGTCGATGAACAGCTGTTCAAAACTGCGCGCGTTTATATGATTTTTCCGCCCTCGGGTGGTTTTGGGAGGCTGGTACTTCCTCGGGCAAAAAAGCAGTTTTCCGATACTCGTTCGAAAAGTCTCCTTTTCCGCCCTCGGGTGGTTTTGGGAGGCTGGTACTTCCTCGGGCAAAAAAGCAGTTTTCCGATACTCGTTCGAAAAGTCTCCTTTACGAACCTCGTTACGTCCCTCGCCTTCGGCTCGGGCCGCAAACCTCTTGGTTCGCAAACGAAGACTTTTCAAACTCGTAGGAAAACTACCATTTTTTAAAGCATCGTTTTACAAGGAAGTCAGTAAAATAAAAAAAAGCAAGAAATTATCATTAAGTACTGTATCTCAAAATTCTTAAGAATCTTTTTTCTATAAGGCCCATACTTTTAACAGATTTATCTTTCTACGAGAAGATCAAGAAAAGGTTGACAAGCACATAAATAAGGGACGACACATCTTGTGCTTACATGAGTTAATGGTAAAAAGTCAAGAGTATTGTAATTTTGTAAATATTGTCGATTTTGTGAGCCATATAAGATAAGTAGAATATTAATGGTTTTGGAGGTCGATTTTAAGGTAAAAGATAAATTGTAAACTTGCCGCAAGTAGCACAAAAAATGTTAACTTTTTATTATCTATCTATAACATTTGTTGCGGCTGGTTTATAACTAATAAAGTGACTTTACTGTAAGTAACAATAATTATTTGGATCAGCGCCATCTAGCGGTCTTTATTTTTTGGCCAAAAGTGGCTCCTAAAATTCTAAATCAGAGCATTCTGGATTAGAGCCATTTAACTAATTATAAACCAGCCGCAACTTATGACGAAGCTATAAAATAAAAAAAATAATGATACGTATGTTTTTGGCGGCAGGCTAACAATTTATCTTATGCTCGAAAATTCATCTTCAAAAGTATAAACACATAGGAGGTCAATTTTTTGGTAGAAAATAAATTGTTAACTTGCCGCCAAAAACACATATATCGTTTTTTTTTATTTTATAGCTTTAATATGAGTTGCGGCTGGTTTATAACTGATTAAATGGCTCTACGCGCTGAAGCTTTGGTTTAAAAGTTTAGGGCCACTTTTTAGTTCAGAAATCCGCAACGCTAGATGGCGCTGATCCAAATAATTATTACTTTCAAACTTAGAGCCGTTTAATCATTTATAAACCAGCCGCAACTAATCTTATAAATAGATAATAAAAAGTTGACGTGGTTTGTCTTGTTTGCGGCAAGTTTACAATCAACTTTTACCCTAAAGTCTACCTCCAAAAATATAGATATTCATATGGTTTAATAAAATCGACCATATGGCATTACTTAGTAGTAATTACTTTAATTACTACACATAACTTCACGTACATCTTACACTGTGCTCTCTTTATTAGAATGATAAAATCAGAGGCTGTAAAGTTACGTAGGTCGTGGTTGATTATGGTTAATTCAAGGTAGTTGACTTACCTACCTGACGGTAACGTAGAGCGCAACCTTACGGCTGCGTAATGCGTATACACGCTGCGGGATTAACGCGTCGGAATTTTGGTTGGCCAATGAGAGTAAAGCTCCCCGTGTATATAGTTATATGGAAAGACTGCAGTCTTGCCAAAGTTCTGCGGCGTAAATTTCCGCAGCGTGTATACGCAGCCTAAATTACTTGCTGGTGACTATTGCGGAAAACACCCCATGTCGATTTTATTGAACCACATAAGTAGAATATCTATTATTGGATGTCGATTTTCGGGTAAAAGATGAATTGTACACTTGCCGTAAAAAAACTTTTTATTTTCCATGTATGACATTAGGTGCGGCTGGTTTATAGTTGATTAAATTACTCGTAGCTCCTAGGCTTCCGGGGTGACCGGGCTTCCGTAAGATAGCGCTGGTCGAACAACTTCGAAAATCGAAATGCCGGTGAAATTGATTGGAAAACTTTATAAGTACGCACAAACGCAAATATTCAACAACGAAATAAAACACTTTTGCTTTTCAACGAAACAAATGTAGTACATTTTGTAAAAAAAACCATACGTCTGATGACAAGCTGAATTCTCCGAATGTAATCGGTGTGTACTTTTGAAATACGAAATAAAAACGCAAAAAAACTTAACCTCTCAGCTTAAAAACTGTTGTGTGTATGTGTATGTTGGTTATTTAAATTTAGAACTGATTAATCGAGCAACGAGTACTTAAAATGTCCAAAGATATAAGATCGTACTTCCTTGGCGGTGCAAGTAAAAAGCCAAAGAGCGACGACAAGAAGCATAAAGCTACTGTCATTACTTCCGACGAGGAGGACGAGCCCAGCACGAAGAGAAACAAAAAGGCCAAGGAAAAGGTGGACTTGAAGAAGGCTTCCAAGAGCCATGAAAAAGCAAAGACGAAGAAGCGCACCATCATATCCTCGGACGAGGAAGAGAAGGAGTCCGAGGCCAAACGCCTAAAGAACAAGAAGGCCAAGGTTGCCGCCGAGAAGAGCAATCAAGTGAAGTTGTTGCGGGAAGTCGACGTGAGGGATGTCTTTCAAAAGAAGCCCATCAGCCGAGTCAACGCCCCCAAGATAAAGAAGAACTCCGGCAAGCCTAACATGAATTTCGATGATGATGACAACTTTGATGAGACCCTCAATCAGCTGGATTTTTCCAAGATTGAGAACGAGTATTTGTCTGCTATGAGCAGTGACAAGCCACCCTTCTTTGAGGATGAGTCAAAAGAGAGGGACATGAAGGCTGTAGAAAGCAATGATTCCAAAAAAGATACTGATAAAGTAAAAAAACACGGCAGTGAAAAGGATAAAAAACATGATAGTGTTAAGAAAAAGAAAGATCAGCCCCATCCCAAGCTGGAGATTAACAGAGAATCTAAGCCACAGAAAGCTGATACCCCTAAGGAGAAGAAAAAAGACGTTGTGGATTTCAATGAAATTATTGAAGAAAAGATCGACAAAAAGAAGCAGCACGCTGCACTTTACCAGAATTATCTCAACAGAGGGGGAGCCAGGAATCCTGGCTCCAAAGAAGTCCCAGAAGGAGCAGACAACTGCTTTGCCAATCAGACATTCTTGATAACAGGTGTTCTAGATTCTTTGGAGCGCGAAGAAGTCGAAGGATTAATTAAAAAGTACGGTGGTAAAGTGATTCAGAGCGTGTCTAAAAAGTTAAATTACATGATTGTGGGAGATCAACCTGGTCCATCAAAAATGTCTAAAGGGCAAAGTCTTGGTATCAAAATGATTAGCGAAGATGACTTTTTGAATCTATTGAGAACTAGTCCTGGCAAAGTGTCTGACACAACTGACGATTCCAGAAAGCGTAAATCAGAAGACTCCATCGATGCTGGTAAAATCAAACCAGATAAAAGGAGCAAACATCAATCACCGGAACAGAATGCAAGTAGGAGTTTAAAACAAGTTGAAATCAATAAAAAAGATAAAACGCCACCAAATGACAAGATTTTTGGCAAAAAGTCACCAGTGAAAAAAGAAGAAAAGAAAACAGAAAGCAAGCAAAAATCAACGCCACCAAAAGCCAACGCCATGTCCAACGGCACGGCTTCTTACAGCAATGCGTCAAACAAACTTGATGATGGACTAGACCACATAACGGCCCTATCAGAAAAGTACAGGCCAAAAGAAATGAAACAGATCATCGGTCAAGGCGGTGACAAGAGTAATGCAAAGAAGTTGCACTATTGGCTGAAAAATTGGCACAACAACCATGGAAAAAACGCCCCGGCGAAACCAAAATTCAACCAAAGGGACGACACGGGAATGATATTCAAAGCCGTTCTGCTTTCTGGACCACCGGGTATCGGCAAAACAACCACGGCCTACGTGGTGTGCGCCGACCTTGGCTTCGAAGTGATCGAGTTCAATGCATCGGACACGCGGAGTAAGAAACTCCTGCAGGAAGAAATATCCGGCATCCTGAAGAATAAGACCGTCAAGTCGTGCCTTAACGCTACAGAAGCGAAAAGTACTCCACCAAAGCACGTGTTACTCATGGACGAGGTGGACGGTATGGCAGGCAACGAAGACCGCGGTGGCATGAAGGAGCTGATATCCTTGATCAAAAGCTCGGACATCCCCGTAATCTGCATTTGTAACGACCGCCAGAGTCAAAAGATCAAGTCACTGGTCAACTACACGTTCGACCTGCGTTTCCAGAAACCTCGACTCGAACAAATCCGAGCTGCCATGATGTCTATCTGCTTCAAGGAGGGCATCAAAGTCAGCCCTGACGAGATTACCAGGATCATTCAGTCCACGAACCAGGACATCAGGCAAGTCATAAACCATGTAGCAGTATTATCCGCCAAGTCCCAGTCTGGTGTTCCGGAAAACAAGAGCATCGAGAAGTACAAGAACCTGAGACTAGGTCCTTGGGACGTGATACGCAAAGTCTTCAGCGCTGAGGAGCACAAGCACATGAGCATTCATGACAAGAGCGACCTGTTCTTCCACGATTACAGCATAGCTCCGCTATTCGTTGAGGAGAACTACCTCATAGTCAACCCTAACGGCCCGAAGAATTTGATTTACGACAAGCTAGCCAAGTGCAGCGAAAGCCTGGCCATTGGCGACGTTGTCGACAAGACGATAAGAAACGGACAGAACTGGAGCCTCCTGCCGGTGCAGGCCTGTTTCTCCTCGGTCATGCCCGGCTCGGTAATGTCGGGCTTTATTGGAGGACAAATCAATTTTCCCAGCTGGCTGGGTAAGAATTCCAGGACTAATAAGTGCGACCGACTGCTCCAGGACATAACGGTACACGCGAGAATTATCACAGGCGCGAGCAAGGAAGCGGTGAACCTCGATTACCTCAAGATGCTTGCCCACTCGATCATTCGTCCCCTGGCAGTTGAAGGAAGCGAGGGCGTTGAGAAATCTGTCGAGATCATGAACAAGTACCACCTGTCGCGCGATGATCTGGACTCGCTTCTTGAGCTCACCAAGTGGCCTCATACCAGGGACCTCATGCAAGCTGTGGACACCAAGACCAAGGCTGCGTTTACCAGAGCTTACAACAAAAGCGCATCCTACAACTCTGCTGGTACAATGAAGAAAAAGTCTGCCAAAGGTGACGCTAACGACGATTTGCTAGGTGAGGAGGATGAGGAGCTGGCTTCCGACGACGAGGAGGAGGACAAAATCGAAAACGACAAGTTGATTAAGGCTAAAACGTCGAAGGCTGCAGCCAAGAACAACAATGCCTCAGCCGAGTCTACGTCGAAAGGTCGAGGCAAAAAACCCGCTAGTAAGACTACAAAGAAGAAAAAGTAATCTTATGTTGTTGTTGAATAAAATTATTACCAAGCGCGATATTTTTTGCACCAATTATGCGAATGTTACGTAGATTGCATATTATATATTTTTGTATATGGAAATACCTGGCGATGATTCAATTTTCCATGTGAAATTTTTTTTTTTTTTTCTTTTCCTTAGTGTTTCATAGCATTGATATCATATGTCAGTTACAGCTACAGTGATGTCGTCTGAATTATTGTGTGATAAATTAAAGAATGACAATTACAAAAAATCAATTATCTATTTGTACATGCTTGTTACGTTTTTTTTTTTTTACGTGAACGCTAGCATCGTTAATAAACATGAAATAGTAATTACAGCGTGTTACACGCATGTAAAAAAACTCATTTGCACTGTAATTACCACATGAGTTTATTGAATGTTTTTTAAAATTATTTTTCGGATCATTGTACGTACATGTAGCAAAAAAAAGGTGTAAATAAACTTTTTGATACTTAAACATATTTATTTTATCAAAAATTAATTTTCTACACATTTATAACTAAATTTTAATAAACTAAAAAAAACAGTTTAATGAAATGTAAGGCACGACGATCTTAACAAATCAAAAAACCTCGTGATTGAATTTGGTCGATAACAATTTCAAGCTATTTTTTTACGAAACAATTTAATTTTTTGTACATTAAAATTACAATAAAATATTTTTCTACCCATTGATTCGTCAGGCTCGCAATGGTAAGATTTGGAATAAATTTTAGTCTCATGGTTAATCAGAGGGCAAAAATGGAAAACGCGGCTCATCGTTTCATTTTCTGCTGTCACACAACAAACGTAATTTAAGAATAAAAATTGTATGATTGCTACCATACATCTAAAACATTTAAGCTAAAGGTAACAATCAGCTTAACAATCAATAAATGATGTCTACGTGATATAGAAATCACCCTAACTAACACGTTTATTATTTAACGTATTAAAAAATATCTTTTTTTTCATGGTACTTACAGTCGTAAACACTTGAACATAGTGTGGCTTGCCACCATAAAGATTGTATTTTGGTTGATACATTCATAAAGGTAAATTCTAAAAAATACACGTTTATAACTTTAAAATCCATTGTGATAGATCCTCAATTTTATATTTACATTATACAGAAATAAGTAGGTACACACACTTTCTCGGGCTTAAAAGAAAACAGTGGACTCATACTCATTAAAATCTCGAGGTAAAAGGTAACGTAAGTTACAGGTGAAAGATTTATAATCTAACTACCATTTGGTTAATGCCACGAGGTTTTAAACGCATTAGCGCTTTCTACTTGTTACTATAGTTAACTAGTGACGCTGATACTACCTTAAAAATTAAGAAAGTGAGTTGTGAATGGTGTTTATTAATGCCTCAAAACGGTTGATTAACCCTTCAATATCTGACTTCTCATACTGCGAAATGCAATTTAAATTTATTTATCTATT